TCTCTCTCTCTCTCTCTCTCTCTCCATGCACATGTCTATGCATGTCAACACTTTCCAAGCAGTGATATCTGTCTATATAGATCTATGTCTATCGCGCTAGGTCGTTGGCCTGACCTTCGAAAACACGGTTAACGTGCGACACATGGCTGACCAAAGCAAAGTAAATCTCCTCTTCCTCTTTGAAATGCTGACGACGAGAGAGGTAGGGGTTGTCCCCTCCATCTTCTTCGTCGCTGTCATTGCCTCCCGCTGCTTCTTTTCTCAGTGGTTGGTCTTGTGCATGCTGCCCCTCCCCTCACTCGTGAAGAAGCACGTCCTCGTCGATAGGAAAACCCTCATCAATAATGATATTGTGAAGCATGCAGCAGGCGATGAACTGTTTGCAGATATTTTTCATGTTAGGGATTTGTCACCGCCCAAAACAACGCCACATGCCTTATAAGCTCCCGAAGCATCTTTCGATGCTTGCTCGCAGAGTCGATAACTTCGTGTAGAACGCAGATTCTGTTGCATTGCGTGCATTGCCCCCGAAAGGGGTTATCASCCATGCMARAAAAAGAWATYCGGCGTCACCCMAGACGTACCTCTCGATCGCWGTCCCATCAAACARCACGWCCGTTCGCCTGGCGAACGGCTCCCTYCCCTCCTACGCACGATTACCAACGTTTGAAAGCCGCCAGACGCGCGAGTCATGGATGGAACCTAGAACCCCCACGCACACATCAAGAATTCACAAATTTTCATCGCACACGACTTGAGCGRCGATTGAGTATTGTGACGTTCTGTCGTAGTACGAGTCCTCCMCTCCACATGGCTTGTTCATGTAGATATGGGTGCAATCAACAAGCCCGACACAACCAGGGAATCCTCTCACCTTGAAGTAGTCCAGTGTTGCTTGCAGACGTGCCTCATTCGACCACTGCAGTTTGGCCCCGTACTCAAGCAGGAGGGCATTGGAAACATCATGAGTGCATCAAATAGCGCTGTGTAGACCGGTGCCAAAGTCGTTCCCGCACTGACGGTAATACCCACCTGTCGCCCATCTGTACAGGGCGAATGCGAACTTCAAGTCCGTTGCCATAGGGTGACTTGCCTTTGGATGTGTGGAGCAATGCGGGCCAAAACGTGGACGAACGTCGGTTTCGTGAGCCTCGTGTACAACCGAAACTTCTCATCATGCTCCGCACCCTCCATCAGCAGCTCCTCCCATGTTCCCCCAACACGAGGAGGCACCCAAAAAACGTAGCCGACGCGGATTCTGAAATGCCGACCTCTCCCATGGTCCTGCCTGCGTGCCTTGTCCAACGCCAAAATGAAGGCCATTGCGGATGTAGTATACGAGGCAACGATGTGCGTTGCCACGTGGAGGATGAYGAGTGCAACCATGAATGTCACATATTGCCTCATCCTCAGCCATCGCACGGTAGCGACGCACATCAACACCACTTCGGCCRGTGACATCTCCGCAYAGGTGAACGGCATGGCTGTGTGTGTGTGCCCCTTTGCACCCTGCTCMTGCCTSAGAAMGCTGCCCGCATCTACCTCTTCGTCTTCTGCGTCGGCTCGAAGGCTATGGTGTGTGCAACACGTCCTCCAGACCACCCCCGTCACCAGCGACGCAACGCCATGACGTCCACGCGTGTGTTTCCGTTGCAGCAGGTGACGGTACCATCGGCGGCCCGTTAAACCACTAGTACCTTTGGCGCGTGGGAAAATAGCGGGCCTCCGGTGGGCCACCGACCTTTTCGGAGGCTGAAACGAAACGACGGCCGCCGATCAGATTTATCAATCGCAGTCGTCGTCGGGCCCGACCTCCGAAAATTCAGGCGATTGGGAAAACAGCCAGTTTTCCCTATTTTCCCACGGGAGAGGTCCCTAAAAAATTGCACGTGACCGAACAATGACTCGCGGGTCGGTGGAGCAGTCCCAGTGTTTTGGGCCAGGTTCCACTCTCTCCTGGCCAGTGGTCCACAGGAACATCTCTCACGGTGGAAGGCCAAAAAATCCCACCGCAGTACYTGGGAAAGACCCGCGGATAGCGTTCGTGTGGGGTCCGAGTTTGCTTTTCCGCCCCGTCCCAAATTGCGTTGCGTTTCCTCAACACCACCTCTCCACAAACAAACACATCCAGATTCAAGCTTTGAGGAAACTCAACGCTGCTGGTGGGATGTGGCCCCTGGGCCGAGTTCCACGATGATAAGTGTTGATGATGGTGCTGATTGCGATCCTTTGCGTCGTTGCGTTCGGGCTCAGTTCCTGCGTAGATGCGGCTTACGGGTGGCGCGCTGTGAGCAACTGGCACGGGGAGCAAATGTGTTGGAGTGAGGAAATTGTTCCAACGTTCCAAGTCTGCGACTATGGAGTTCCGGCGTAGTAGCGAATATGAGGAGACAACACCACCCCATTATGGGGACTGTGTCTCGCGTGTACTCGGTCGAGCGTCAGTGTTGATGACGGTGCTGATGGTGACGCTTTTGGTCGTTGCGACTGTGCTCAGTTCCTGCCTAGGTGCGGGTCCGGGGTGGCGTGCTGTGAGCAGCTGGCACAGGGAGGACAGGTGTCGGAGTGCTGGCATCGGGTGTGAGAACCGCATCCGCGCTTGGCGGCATGCGGGTAGTGTCTCCGACGCTCATAGGACTGGTTCCGCTTCTCTTGAAGAGAGGACATACAACTCAAGGTCTCTGAAAGTTAGAGATCCTATACTGCCAGCGATCCGCGATCCTGAGCTGATAGTGAACAAGACGAAGGTGTTCACTTTGACAGACTCGACACTGAAGCCGGTGTTTCCCGCGTCGATCAGCAACTCGTTCGATTTGGTCGGCTGCAATAACGCCCTCGAAGACCTGGGGCTCGCATCCAATGGCTCTGTCTTGTATTATGTTCTCGACCAGCGGTGCAACAGTCAGTTGAACGGGTCCGACTCGGAGGAGTTCACGTCGAGTTGGCTGTACTCCGTACGGAAGGCTGAACGGAGGGCAGGGTCAGGGGGATGGGAAGCCTTCCAGAACGATTCGCTTATTACTTACTGGTGGGCGTTTAACGATAGCGATGGGATGAGACCCTCGTCGCCAATCATCTTCAACGAGAACTCGACAATGGAGACGATGATGGGGCTGATTGGCATGGACTTGTCCGACGAAGGGACGACTTTGGTGCTAACCACTGAAACATATGAGGCCTTGGGCA